CCCCTCTCCCCAGATGGCAGCCTGCAGCAAGTGCAGCCGGGCTGATGGCCGAGTGGTGTGATGTGCCCAGTGTGGGCACTCAGGGCACTCCAAGCCAGGACTCCTTTGCAAGCGGGGCACCCCTGAGAACTGTCTGTCCGGAGTGGGGGTCGGGTCCCTTTAAGCACAGCCCTCGGCTAGCCTGAGAAAGCAGCTCCACGCTCTAACTCCTCATCTGATGCCCTGCCGGCACTGCTTCCGGCCATCCTTAACCCCGGTTCAGGGTCCACTCTGTGTGGACATGCTAGTTCAAATTAGAAAAACGTTAATTCGAACTAGTTTTTTAGTCTGGATGCGTTAGTTCGAATTAGCTTAGTTCGAATTAACTAATTCGAACTAAGTTAGTTCGAATTAGCGCTGTAGTGTAGACATACCCCCAGAGAGCAGTGAGCAGGTGGATGAAGGTGACCAGCAGAGTGAGTGTGATGCGCCCCCTTCCCTCCCCCTCCCACTCTGGATGGGAGGTAAATTCTGCAGATCACCTCTGAACTCTGGTCTTCCCTGACCAAGGGCAGTGACTGTGAGTGGGGTGCAGAGAAAGGGACATTTACGTTATTGGACTTAAAAACCTGAGAGGAAAAGGACATTGCCCAACCTGCTTGGTTATGAACTCTGTGGTATTTTCCCAAATTAATGCCATGTTACTTCCCTCCCCTTTTATTAAAGGTTTCTTTTCCACTCAGACTCTGTTTGCGAGTGGGGAGCATTGCCTCCCAGAGGCACCCAGGGGTGTTGTGTGACTTTCCCAGGTTACTAGGTGGGGACTTGAGCCAGTTCTGTGTTGGATGGATGGAGAGGAACCCTAGATATTGAACCTGGCCTTGGATGCCGCTGGTGCTACCTGGAAGAAGGATCCCACCTTCAGTACACAGGGGAATGTGCACACCCTCAGTGAAATCTGTGTCTTAGAATAGTTACTCAGAAAAGCAAAGATTCACATGCAGTCATGAAAAGCATTTACATTCCTGAACTAGCAGAACTGGTTATTTAACTTTCATTTACAGGGAAGCTTTAGGATAATTAAAAAGAAATGATTCCTGGAAGTTTTGTTCTTTTGTAATTTCTTTTTGAATGAACTGGATTAAAACCAATATCACAGTAAATAAACATTCAAATTAATGTGAAAATTGTGTTATAATATAAAGATATCATGAAGAGGAATAGGAAATCCTTTGTATTCATGTACGGTAGGGTTTCAACATTATGCCTTATTCCACTGACAAAAGAAATATTTTTTATTACCATGCACAGCGGGTAAAGCTGCTGCTTGGGGAGGCAAGCTCCAGAGCCTGTGGATCTGCCCATACTCCACCCCTGCTGTTCCTCAACTCTGCCTCTGCTCTGCCCCTCCCCCTCCAGCTCCATCTTCTCTTCACTCCCCCCTCTGCTCACTCCTTTCAACCAAATCCTTGAACCCAAATATAGCAAATAACATTTGAAAAAAAAACCCGCTCTTCTAAAATTTCTTTCTAAAGAAAATGGAGCATGTTTTCCCCTGCATGCCAGATTGTGAAGTCTGGACATGCCGAAGGTACCTAATTAAAAGCACTAAATTTGGGAATAAAAAATTTAACTCACAGGTTTTCGATATATCCTGAAGTTTGTTAGAGATTTATTCGT